GGATGAATTTAGACTAAATTACACTTGTTGTTGCATTGATTGATTTGTAAGGTAGTAAAGGAGGTGAGCAACTTGAAGTATGTAAAGGAAACGTTTGAATTTACGTTGTTTGCAAACAGAAAGAAATTTTTTTTTGCTGAATCGGTAACGGTAACTTGTAGAATATTTGAAGAGTTAACGTCGTCAGTTGTTATTTTTTGCTGTCCTTTTTGTTCACTTGAAAACTGTACACTTGAAAATAGTCCTACTACTTTTTCCTTTCTTTTCCCTAAAAATTCTTCCTAACATTTTGGTCATTTTGAAGTACTGCTGCAATTAACACCTAAAAATAGCCTATTGGATAGCTATCTTCTGGTCGAACATTTAACAATAAAACTACTAAATTTGATACTAATTATCAAATCTGTTATACATTGAAAAAAACAATATGAATATTTTGAATTGAATGTTGTTTAAAATATTTCTGATGATTAAGAATACTTTAAAGATTTTTTCTTGAAAAAAAGGTTTTTTTTCACAAGTAGGGAAATGAAATGGGATAAATTCTGAGCAAAAAGAAAATTTCTGAATGTAGATGAGAAACTTTTTTTTAATTGTACATCTGGAAATAATTTATGCAACTATTTCTTCTTTTTTGTAAGACTTTTCCAGAATGAACAGCTAGCTTTGAAGACTTTAGAGGAAAAAGAAAGTTTAAAAAATAGAAAAAAAACCTATGATTTACACAACAGTTTTAATAAACAGTTGTTTGCAAGAGTTTTCTTGTTTTTTTATATTGTTTGTTTATTAGTTAAAACAACTTCTTTAATAGCAATTTTGCTTATTTACTATATCTTTCTCTGTTTTTTTCTTCTGCTTTTAATATCTGATACACATATGTATATGGCAGCCAAAGTAGACTCGCACATTCAGAAGAATACTATTGGATCCAACAAATATTCAGTTTCTCTTCATAGCATATCTTCTTGCTGGCTAATTACACTGTACGTTGATAGTCGCTAATCTGAAGACGACCAGCAGATTATACCTTTAAATTTTTTTCTTTCGTTAAGTCGTTTGTTCGCTCGCTCGCTTACTTATACTCACTCACTCATTCATTCATTCATTCATTCATTCATTCATTCATTCAGTCAGTCATTCGCTCATTTAGCCACTTACTCACTAATTCACTTAGCCACTCACTAAGTCACCGACAGTAAAAACAGAATGCTTGACAGTTACTGATTGAGGTTGTTGCTGAGAGTAGTGGGAGTGGGAATCAGAGATAATGGGGAATTTGTCGTCAGTGAAGCATTATTGGCGCTTCCAATACATATCTGTTTTGGGCCGTCAAGCTCAGATCAGGTGTTTTCATCAATGCATAGAAATAGCCATTCTTTCCTTTTTTTTTTCTGGTATCGGCTAGTCAGATCTGCTGATAT